CTTCAGAAGGTTCTGTGCATTAAATGCATTTCGACTTTCGCTATTTTCACCTGGGACGCAACCCCATCGACAGTCAAGGAGCATGTGTAACTTGAGTCGGATCCCTGGCTTCTCCGGGAGTGGTGTCAGGTAGAGCAGGCCAGCAGGTGTGAGACCGCCCGTGCAGTTCACACTCAGACCTCCCGAAGGGCCCCCGAGGCCTGGGGATGGGAGAGCCTGGGCGGCACACGGACGGGCCCTGCCTTGGGCTCCCCAAGCAGACACTGTAGTTCCTGTGGGAGCACTGAGTCCGGGCAGGGGGAGCGGTGGGCGAGGCGAGCAGCGTGTGGCCGCATCTCCCTCCTCCCGGCTGAGGCCCGGGGCTTGCTCAGGCAGAGCCGAGGGAGGCGGGGGAGGCCTGGCCGGGATCTTCCAGCTCATTCCATTCACACCCGTCCTCCAGCCTCTGATTTTGCTACGCCTGGGTGTCGGAGGCCTGGCTCTACCCTGGGGCAAGAGTGTGGTCCCTTTGAGCCTCGGTTTCCCCATCTGCACACCTGCTGCTGTGACAACTGTGAAACCCTTGGCCCCAAACAGCGTACAATGAGGCAGCCCAGGCTGGCTGGGATCATCTCCCAATGGGCTCTCGTCACCTGATGTCTGCGTCTGTCCTCCACTGTGGCTTCTGATGGCCTCTGGACTGGCAGGACAGCCACGGGGTGGATGGTGTGACCTGAGGCTCCCTCTCCTCCTCTTCCTCCTCCACCTGCCAAAGGTGTTTGGCTGCCAGGGTGGAGCTTAGTCAAAGCGCTCGTCACTGCCCCGAGCTGTGCCCTGCCCTGGGGACCCCACTGGAAGTCCAGCAGCACACGCGCCACACCATGATGGGAGCACTGGCGGCAGGTGGAAACCCAGAGGCGGCATCCAGCCCATTCGGGCTCGACGGGGAAATGGTCAGGGAAGGCTTCCTGGAGAAGGCGACCTCTGAGCTGAGGAATGAAGGATGAGTAGAAGTTTGCCAGGTGAAGGATGGGGACATGGAGGGTCTCCCGACCAAGGACC